AGCATGAATGTCCCTAACTATACCCGGTTGCTCAGAGCCTCAGCCAACCTGACCTTGAAGGTTTCCAGGGATGGGGCATCTCCACCTCTCTGGACAACATTTTCCAGCCATGTTTTGCATGAAACATGAGGAGAATTGAATACTTAATTCCTGGTCACCTAAACTGTAAGGCTATTTTCAGTATCTTGTCAAACTGTTAAATTGTAAGTAATTTTGCAAAGTAGAGAGATTTTAACAGGAAAAAAAAACCACTTTGGGCCAGAAAATAGTCTACAAGTATGGGATGTTCATCTGAAAAGTCAGAGATGTTGTTTCAGGTTCTCATGCAAATTTCAGTAAAGCTGGGCATTTTTCTGTGGCCTCGCTTGGGGATTTCTCTAAGTGCCAGCTGTTAAGCCACAGAAAAGGGAGACAGTACTGTTATTCTCCCCAGTGTTTCCTTCTGAAATTTGGTTCTGCATTTTTCAGTTGGTGTTTGCTCATCCCTTTGGTGGGAACCCCCTTTCCAAGTGCAGTGTGAAGAGGCACACATTAGCTAGGCAGCTAGTCGAAGACTATGGATTCTGTTACTTGGAATCCAGCCATAATAGCTACAGCTTTGTAAATTGGAGAAGGAGGGGTAGTTGGTGCCTTTGGATGTGGACTTTGACAAAGCCAGAGTCTCTGCTGTTTTTAGAAGTTCTAATGGGCTGTGATTTTTGACCTGTGCCCCTTTAGCTGTTCTTCTGCTTGGCCTCTGCTCTAAATAAAGATACTGCCAGATAACCTTTTATACACAGATGTATTTTCTGTTTTGTTTTCAACATTTAAGTCATTTATATAGTGTACATGAGAACTTATAAACATTGTGAGCTTATTTTTTGGAACTAAAATAGCCACATAGTAGTAGAGGAAGAACTGAACAAACTCACTTTGTTTATAACATGGTGAGAGACTAATCCAGACAGCATGAGATCAGAGACCAGTGCTTTTAATTTCCATATTAATTTTACATTTATCATAGAATTCTCAAGGTTGGAGGAGACCTCTAAGATCATGGAGTCTAACCATTAACCTGCCACTGCTGTAACCCCTAAACCCTAAATCATATCTTCCAGCGTCAGATCCAGATGCTTCTTAAACACTGCCAGAGATGGTGACTCCACCACCTCCTTGGGCAATCTATTCCAGTGCCTGACCACCCTAACAGGGAAAACATTTTTCCTAATATCTAATCTGAATCTCTCCTGTTTCAGCTTATGACCATTCCTTTTAGTCCTTTCACTGCAGGCATGGCAGGAAAGACCATCATGCTCCTCTTCAAGAGATACTGCGCTACTTTAACCACATTGTCATTCCCATTTCATGATTCAAGCAGTTTCCAAAGGACAGTGTACTTTGAGTGGTAGTGCAGTTCCAGTTCTTGCTCACCTGATCCACCAATGCAACCTCCTTCAAGTCAGTGTAATTCAGTGTGCAGATGAGGTGGGCTCAGCTTTTCTTTGCAGTCAATAGTTTAGGTGGTAGTATGTGGTGTTTTGACAAAGTCAGTTTGTAGGGTCATGGTTTAGAAACTTACTACAAGTTATGTTTCCTCTGGGGCATGGTTGGTACAGGTTTCATTCATCACATCTGGGATTTTCACCATCATCCTGCAGTGGAGTGATGGCTGTGTGGCCAGAACTAGCACTGGCTTCTGAGTCTGGCACAAATAGTGAAGCTTACACAGATTATGTCTTGAAATTATGTACACCAGAGCAGGTGAACTCAGTTATGGGGTGCATGTGTTTAACCACAGCAAGCTAAAGATTTTAAAATCTCCATCTAATTCTTTTTCTCTGCATTTAGTATAAAAACTAATCCTTTTAAAACCATCTAATAATACATTTATAATAAGATGCCTGGGTTTAATTCTTTGCTGCCAGCAGATGGAAGCAGTTCTTTGGGAGCTCTTGATGGTGTTGCTGCCCATGAATAGGAAGTTACCAGGTCCAGGGATCTGTTGTTTCTATTTTCACCAGGCAGGAATTGTGACAAAAGGACCAAAAAAAAATAACAGAGAAAGCTTTTTAAGAGACCTCACCATCTTAAAAATGCTCAGGCCTAATCCAAGGTCTCAGATTTAGCCCTGGTACTTGAGGATGCAGTTGACAGAAGAGTAATTTCTGGTTTGTACTGTATTTTGGGTTAGGATGCCCTGGTGCTGCCTCTTTTATACAGAAAAGCATACTTTTCCCACGAGAGGTTTCAGGAATACAAGGAAGTAAACATAAGTAATTAGAGATGCCATTTTTTTCTCACTTCTATGGACCTTTATTTTTGCTGGGTAATACAGAGATTTTGGGTTTCTCTTGTATGACAAGCTCTCTGATTTTTTGTATATGTTAGTACCATTCTTTACTGGTTGAAGACTCTACTGGTGCACAGAAGAGAGCCATCCCTGCAGTCTCTTCATTTATTGGAGCCATCATAGCTTATACTGGCTGAAATCAATCTGTCTGTTCAGCTGGCTGGTAGGAGCTGTGAATGGCATATGGGTTAGCACAGAATCTCAAGGAATGCAAGTTGAAAATTCTTGATCCTGTTGATCTTTGGCCAAACACTGAATTTGTAGAATTTGTGAAGTATAACTGAAATGAGGATTTGTTGTTTCTCAGGTCACTGAGCTAGCAGGCTACACTGCCCGTGTCTACAACATGTTTTCAGTCTTCGATGAGGTGAAGAGAGGCATCTACAAAAGAACTGCTGTTATTCAGGGGTCTGTAAACCACAGCAAGAATGAAGATAAATCAGAGTTGCACATTGATGGGCCCTTAGAAATCAAAGGTAATTAATTCATATTTATATCTATTTCCCAGGGTGAGGATGTGGGTGGTGCAGTGGGACAGGAGGTAAACAGAGGTTTTTCTTCTACTGCTAGTCAGCCTCACAATCTTAGTGTTGCAGAAACCATGTTGCCTTTCATTTTACTTCCTGCTATTTTGTAACACTGTGCTTATGCTGTGCTTTTCTAATACACAAAATTGCTCAATTGTTTTCTGTAAAAACGTTCAATGAAAAAGGCATTTCAACCATACTGTAATTGGTGGTGACAATATTATTCTTACACAGACAGTGCCTGTTTCCCTCAGACACTTAATTTTTTTCAGAAGGATGAGACTAACATTTTCATCTTCAATCATCACATTTTGTTTGAGGTAGAAGGGAATGACAGATTGATTCATTAGTTTTTGACAAAAATATTATGTTTTCAATGATTAAAGATCAGCCCAAGCTCCTTTTTTCATAATTTAGTGGGAATCTTCAACTGAAAATGGACTGAACAACTTTATCCTTCTCTTCACCTCCCAAATAATCTGATCAGTATATACCTTTTCTCTCCTCTCCCTATCCTGTATCTTTCTGGTGCCACTATCTTTTCTGTCTTCACCCTCCCCAGAACATTTTCCGTGTACATCCATTTCTCATTGTGCTTCATTATGTGCACTTCTTGCTATCTCTTGCATCCATCTTCTCTCTGAGGTACTTAAAGGCAGCTCCTGCAATGAGTTTTTCCTCATTTTCCCAACAGACCATTTCTGCTGCTCCCCTCTGTAGTGTTGAAAAGCCTCATTCCCTCCCTTTGGCTTTTGAAAGGTTAAATCTTTGTAGAGTTAAAGGCCCCAAAGGGCTCTCGATGAAAAACCTCTTGCAGCGATTTCAACAGTGCTGCCCTTCAGCTCAGATTTCTCAAAGGTTCTTCATAACAAATGCTCTGATGCAGTCTGGTGGGTAGGTGTGGAAATAGCTGATGTCTTAATCTTGTAGATCTTGGTAATACTTGGCTGACATTAAAAGAAATGGTATTTTATAGCTGTTGCATTTTGTCATGTACATGAGAAAAAGTTTGTAGTTCTTGGAGCAACAAAGTAATTTGGAGACTCTTTTTAGGTAACAGTACTTTTAAAAAAACCCAGTACAGTTCAGATATGCAAGTATGCTGCTCATGTACCCTTTTGGTCTCATGTGCTTAAACCCCACTGCTTTTTTCTCTGCAACCTTTCCCCAAGATTTGATTACACTACAGTGACACATTTCATCCAGTCTGAATTGCTCCTAAGTCATGGTAAGTGGCAGTTGCTCTTGAGTGGTTGTAGCTCTCAGAGGCAGCTGGCCAAGGCCAAGCATTGTGCACAAGGACTTAAGAAGAATTTAGGCCAGGTGAATCTAGGCCACAGGCTCCACACTTTTTATGACAAATCCTATTTTAATACTGTTTTTCCTTCTTTCTTTTGGTCTTGATACTTGAGAAATCACTGAAGTGTGGTTAAAAGTACACGTGCTCACATACATGTATGTTGCAATCAGACACTGCAAAGTTAGGATTAGGAAATGAGAATTAAGTTTACTTAATTCTTACCAGCTTACTGTATTTTATCATAGGTTTATTTCAACTACAATGTCTCCACTGTATCCAAGTAATCTCTTTTAACAACAAAACACTTTCTTTCCCCATAATCTCATGCTGGACACCACAGAACTGTTTTAAATAAAACTTATTGTAGTCAAAAAGAATGCTTGGGCTGACACATGGCACAGACATTTTTGGCCAGGTTGTTACAGTTTGCAAAGTTGGAAGCAATTAAACAAAGAGGCTCTTAATGGAAAATGTGAAACTAACCTTAACTGAAGGAAATGCTACCAGAGCCTTTTGTAATACACTTATCTTTGCCTTAGTTACATTTCTCTTTGTTCAGATTAGTATAAATTATAAATAGTTTTCAAATACAAGGAGGAATCTCTTTCCTTTGCATCTTGTCTATAAAGGTAATTTCTGGTTTTGTGTAGGAACACAACTGGTCAGGTTCTGTTAGAGAAGCCAATTAACAGGACACTGAGAAGTTAAGAGTTAGTTGCATTTTTTTACTGTTTCCAGGATAATTTATCTCAAAGTCTTTGTATTACAGAGTATCCAAATGTCCAGAAGAGATTGTATCTTTAAATTTGCCAGAAATCCAAATACTGAGTGTCTCTGCCTGACTGAAATGTTACACGAGTTTCTACAAATACTTACAAGACACATTTACAGTGTTAGTGGCATCAGAAGGAGATGGAGGCAAGCCATTAAATGTTTTCTCCTTTGCTCTGGTTGCCAGAGGAGACTGAAATGGGCTCTGATTTTCAGAGCTGGTAGTGATTTCTAATTAAATCCTCAAAAGAAGGTTGACTGGTCTGCCTGTGGCTAAGGCTGTCCTTGAACATTTTTACTGGTCAGTATTAACCAGCTATTTAAAACAAAATACTGTACACACAGGTAGAATGTGAATGAACATGTCTTTATTGTGCATTATGTATTTATGATACATTATGTGCATTACATTTATGATCAAATTTAGGTTTCATTGCACACTCTTGGCTACTTCTGACAGTGTCTTTCTGACTAGCTAAGATTTATTATCCAGATTTTCCACTGGGGAAACCTGGAACACATAAAGGAGCTGTTTAAAACACCAATTCATACTTCTGAGCCATGCACAGAGACTGTCACAAATCATTGCTTAATGAAAGGTTTCACAGACTCTAATTTTAATTTTTTTTCTTTCTAGGGAAGGTTATTGATGTTGATCAAGGAATTATTTGTGAAAATGTTCCTATTATTACTCCGAATGGCGATGTGGTGGTTTCCAGACTAAACTTCAAAGTAAGATGATATGCAAGAATCCTCTGATTGTTGCCATCACATTAACATAAACAGCACAGAATTCATATACCTTATGTTAAGTACTTGGAGGAGCATATGGATAAAAGGGGAAGTCCAGAAAGGTAGGCATAGTAGCTCAATAGAGGCAGACATATGTAGTTTATCCTGCTCAAAGAAAGAGAAGAGAGGATTTCTGGTGCTGTTGCCAGGTGAAAAAGCAACCTGAGATTTTCAGAGGTGTGTGTGGGAGTATGCATCCATCTTTAGTTAATTGCAATGAGATTGGGATGCTTTACTCACATTGGCTCCTTTAAAAGTCTGAGGTCACAGCAAGAGTGAAACAATCGAGTCTGTGGTTTCACTTGATCACCACCAAGAGCAGTGCTGACTGATAGCTCACATAGTTCACAAGCCCAGCTCGGGAGCATTCAGTCAGTAGAAACTTGTATGGTTTTAAAAACCTGTTCCAGATACCTCTCGGTACCTGCTTACAATGTTAATGAATGACCTTTACTGAATTACTCCATATGTATCTGGATCTGATGTTCCAGTGCAGATGTTATCTTTTTTAAAAAGAGTTGAAGTTATGAGAACACTAACATGAACAACTCGAGCAGGTCATTTAATTTTGCTAAGGCAGAGTGTTCCATTTGGCACCTCTGTGGTGTAGGAATTAGGAACTAGGAGGAAAAGGTCCTAGCTATGGCAAAACTTGGAGTGACTTCAGTGTAGGAGTTTGAGATTTGTAAAACTACAATTTTGTGATCAAGGAAACATTTATATTTATTACTTGACTCAAGAGACAGAAACAAAGAAAATATAACAGTCATCATAGTTCTGTAAAGCCTAGACAATTGCACTGTGATTATGTATAAATATACACTCATATATACACAGGGTAATATTCAAATTGCAAAAACAAAGTGCATCACAGCCAAATGAACACAGGTGATTAAGTGGAAAAGGGCAGTGTGAAGTAAGTTTTCCAAATCCTTTGATTGGCCTCCCATAGCTGCTGTTAATATCCCAGCTAGGCCCAGTGCTGCTTGGTGTGCCTTAACACCTTTGGACCTAACCTGCATTAGAATATTTGATTCTGACTGAGGTGTATTGCAGTGTAATGTAATCAGTGTGGTTTGTAGAAATACTCAGACATAATAGAGATGATTTTCATTGTCTCAGCCCACGTGTTATATCTAACGCCACTGTTTCCGGAATAATTGCTTGAATATGTGCAGCTAATCAATAAAATGGATTGATAATTTGCTATAAATGCTCATGTAACTCCCTCCTAGGGGGTCTTAGACTGTCTTGTGCCGCATAATACTGTGTAGTAACATCTGTGTTTTTATCTCCTTTGCAGGTCCAGGAGGGAATGAATCTATTAATCACTGGACCCAATGGCTGTGGAAAGAGTTCACTCTTCAGAATTTTAAGTGGTTTGTGGCCTGTGTATGGAGGAGTTCTCTACAAACCCCCTCCCCAGCACATGTTTTATATACCACAAAGGTATGTGTCCTGCTCGAGGTGATACCTTCTATCTAGTTACATGAATTTTGACCTTGCTTCTCTCATTTTCAATCAGTGATGTGTACAGGCAAGTTAAAAGATGATAAACACAGCCTCAGCTGTGTGGAGTGTGCTAAAAAAACCCCAAGATCCCTTCTCATTGGTGATGCAACTTCATTAGTCATTGGAAAAGGCTCACATACACTCGTGTTGGAGTCTGTGTTCCTCTGATAGCTAAAGTCCTGGATGATTGGGATCATGGGAACAGACAAGAGTCTGAAAGAAATTTGAAATAGAGCTAATATATCTCAATCCTGATTTCACGTTAAAACCAGAGATCAAAACAAGTGAGAGGGTTTTGGTTCCTAAGTGTTGAAATAGTATTTAAAACTTCAATTTTCACACTACAAGACCAGAATCCAATCCAGTGGTAATTGCAGATTGCGTTTTGAGTAGTATGTGCTCATTTCACTGAAGGAGTCATGTCTGTTTTGTGCTTCATTTGTATTCTGACATGCTGACTCTCAGTACATATTTTAATGCCATTTATTCTAGAATATCTCCTTAGAGACCTCTAACTATGTTGTTTTGCAAAAGCAAAATCAAACACAGAATCTTTGCCTTCTGCAGTTTGTTTCTTCCCATGGGCAAAAGAAGTATTCATAGTACAGTTTGTAGTCTTGTTTAAAAAGTACAAGCTATTAAGCTGAATGGAAAATATTAACTGATTAGTAGATTTTCCTTGCTGCAGGTGAAGGTAGCAAAGAACACTCTGTAATTTTTTCAAGTATCTGTATAATTTATTGCTAGCCATTGTGTCATTTTTCTGATCCACTCAAGGGTTTTATTCAGGAATTTGGAGCAAAATGCTTTCTTAAATGTTTTTCAAAACAGTATTGCAGAATTTTCATTGTGTGGAACATTCTTCAAAACAGTTTTATTCTTACACAGAGTGAAAACTATTCTGATTTTTTTTCTTGCAGAAAATCTTAAGTTTCTTCCACTTCCATCCTCTGTGTGATCCCAGCCTTTACTCAGATGTGGCTAGCTTGCCTACACTCCTTCCCCTTTACTTATGTCCTCATTATTCTGTGAAAGCAGACTCACCTTGGGTTCAAGCACATTTGCCAAGGTGCTAGTTGAGGGGATTGAACCACATCTGCTGTGTTTTCATTTCCATAAACATGGTTCTTTGTTAGCTGCTTCCCCTAACTGCAGTGCTGGGTAAGTTTGTCCAGCAGACCTCTTCTTGGAAATGTTTCTAAAGTTTTGGTCAGAATTCACCCAACATCTTTGCAGCCCTCTGTGACCAAAGCCTTGTAGATGATTGGCATAAGTATCACTCACATGCAATCCGTCCTAACAGCATCCCCCAGGGGAGAGGTGTTGCTGTGATATCTTTGGGACATCTAAGGGACATTGTCATAGCTTGGCTCTGTGGCTCTTTTTGTGAGCAATGTGCTTCTGGAGGGTTTTTAGGCAGTACAGAGGTATTCCCTGCCCAAGGGACAGAGCAGTGTCTGGGTAAATGAGGCAACAGTGAGTGACAGAGGGGACTTTTCTGCAAAAGTGCCACATTTTGTCTGTGGCTGAACATTCTGAAGTCTATTTTGGGGGACAGTCAGTTGAGGTTTTTGCCTGTCTCTGCCTCTAGAATACATTTAGAACTTCTGTAGTGGTTTGTAAACTGTTCTGAGGTCACCAAATTAAAAAGGCTTGTTTTCTAAAGTCCTGCTGGTGCAACACTTTTGCTTATTAACCCTATGCAAATTCTTGTTTGATCAGGATTGCCTTCTGTTTATCTTTTTTACACATAATTCTAAAACTTCAGGCTGAAAAACATTACCTGCATTGCATTTTATCTTGTAATATATTTCAGCATAACTTTAGGGAAAGTTGATCATGTTGGTCTGGAAGGTGTTCTGGACTGGCAGGATCTGGGAGGTGGGAGGATGATATCACCTGGCTACAACCTACCTCGCTGAGTAGGTGAAAACTGTGACCTAGCAGAAAGCTCTTGAATTAGTGGATGTCCATCAGAGCAGTGAGTTAGTGACATCACTGTGTTTAAGCGTATACTTTGTCTCTGCTCCAAAAACATGGCACATGGCTTTCCATGAGTGGAGTTACCATTCAGCCTGGTAAGAGCTTACTTCTGTGTGCCTGTGGGTGAGTGTAATTCTGCAACAGACCTTATTGAGTCAAACTTGGGAACCTCATCTGCACACATGAATGGTGGGGAATACAGTGACTACTGAGTAACAAAATGCTCCACAGTAAATAGGAGCTCACTGAAAAGATTAATTTATCATCCCTCTTTGTAATGTTACAGCACAGTATTCCAGAAATGTGTGGGAAATCACGTGTCTTTGCCGAGTTCAAAAGCTACACACAGAAGCATGATTTATTAAAAAGTGAATCAGCTCATTGTATACTCCAAATTTAATCAGCACTGTAAACACTTTATAGTTGGCATTACTGAGTGGTATGTAGGCCTTAAAACAGAGCCTTAAGAGTCCCGGTCTTTTTGGGTTTTAGGTTGCTTAGCATCATTTTACTGTTTTTTTCTTCATATTTTACTGTGAATCACTGTGAGGTTGTTTTTTTCTCCCTTATATATGGCTAGGCCTTGCAGAATTTGCCTTTAATCAGTTCTGGTGGATGTTGATGAGGCAAACTGCCCTTTTGGGGGTCAGGGTGAGAGAAGCCCAGGGGTTTCAGCACCTCTGCTGCTGTCTGTGATGGGCCCGTAAAAGAGGAGGATGGGCAGAAGAGAGGGAAGTTTTAAGAGGCTTTAAGCAGTCCAGCATCATTTGGTGCCAGAAGGAGCTTGTTGGATCAGTAGTAGGAACTGGTCACAGCTCAACAAGTTGTTAGGTCTCATTGGAGCCTCAGTAACAGGCAGAGTGTTGCTCTTACACCTTCTACTTTGCTCTCTTTTGCAAAGTCAGTTTCATTTGTGTTAACCACATCTTTGCATTCGTCTTTTAATCAAGTGGCCAAGAAGGTAGCATGAATGAAAAAATAAATGCTTGTGGTACTCTACTTGGTAAGGAATCATGATTCAAATCAGAATTGATAAACATAATCTTAAATAATAAATAATTAACAAAAGTATGTGGTGGGTAACATGAGTATGGTTGCTAAAGATATAACCACAAGATGTATCTGTAGTACTTGGGGAACTAATGAAGCAGTCAAGCCTTTCATAGTGTATCAAGCAGTGTATCTGAAAGTAATCTGATTTCTCCAGACCCTGCCCTGTTTCTACTCTGTTGATCTTAAACATGGGAGGAGACTCCATCTCCATGGAATTAATGACTCTAGCACACAATTCCTCCTAACATTTACTCCATCCTTTCTTGCTCTCCAATTAAAAGTCTCAGCTCTTCCAGTTGTAAGGAAACATAGATTCTGCACATGTTGGTTCTCATTTCCTTAGTTCTCCATCACTTTACATAAATGCCAGCAGAACTGCACACCTACATGCTTGCAGGTTACCTTGACAACACCACAAGAATATTCCTCAATATCTTTGCACCATAAAGCTGCAGTAAAGCTGTAATCACTACTGGGTTATTGATATAAATTGTTAATTTTCTGCCAGCTGTGTCTTATTGTCTTATTTGCATGGATTTTCATGCAGTCTCTGTTGGTTCCATAATGTTCTATCATGAGTCTTCCTAGCAGACCACATATCTAAAATGTCCATCTGTATTTTCTCTGTCTTTTTTTAAGGACTGATTCATATTTGTAGAGCTGGAATAATTCTTCATCCATAATACTTCTTTCTCTTCATCCATGGTCACTGTTTTTTCTCTCCAGCTTGCTTCTACCATTTATGTGAGAGGTGTGTTTCTGCAGTAGTATGCATAGTTTCTCTCTTATTTTGTGTGCCATTTCAGCAGAAGACCAGCCCACTTTCTCAGTGTTCCCAGTGATGGTCCAATTCTGTATTCTCTCTTTCTATTGCTCAATTCAAGTAGATCTCTAACAGTTCTTTCTTTCAACACCAGGCTTATCAGATCCTAAAATGGAAGCAAGCAAAGATGAACTAGTATGAAATGTTGTTTGTTCTTTGTAATTTAAAATTTATATTCCTATATCTAGCTGCCTTCTTATTAACACCACGTATGGAATATAACAGTTTAAAGGTTTATCTGACCCTTCTGAGCTGTTTGGTTTTGTATACATCTGCTCTATTTCTAGTGTTTTATCTGGGGTTCCTTTACAAGTCTTTTCCTGTCTGGCCTTTTTCCTTCTGTATTCTAAAAATATACTTGGCTACTAAACAAATTGCATCAGCTCCAGATATATATTTCCTCTCCTTAGCTCTATTGAGTAATCCAAATGTCTGACATGATTTGCCTCAGGTAAGTTCAAGGATATTCATCATGTGGATGAAACCAAGCAAGAATGTTTCAGTTCTAAGTGATATAAATAATAAAGTGATAAAATAAGAGTCATTTTTACTTTATAAGCACATGAAAATTTGAAGATTTTAGTGTGATTCAAAGATTATCTTAAGCATGGAGGTAGTTAGTAGTGTCCACTGTCATCCTAAAAGAGTTCTTGGTTACATAAACAATTTCACCTTGCAAAATCATTGTGTTTCACTTGCAGATACCCTATATTACATATGAAAGTTTGTGCATATGGAGTACATATATATATATGGTTCTTCTGTGCAGACTACTCTCTCATTAGCATGTGGATGGTTAGAGAAGCAGCCTAAATGAAGTGCTATGCAAATATGCCCATGCAAGTTGTGTTGCCTCATCTCATTTAGGTTGGCTCAGATGTCTCTATGCTATGTTGTATTTTGCACATCCTAGTTTCTTGTCAGCTAATGCTGCTCTGTCTTTAACTATGGTCCCTTTAGTTGGGTCAGGTGGAATTAAACTGTACTCTGAACATGCCAACACTGCACTAGTGATTGTCATTGCCCTTCAGCATTTTGCTGGCATTACACCACCACATCGACTTGTTCCTTCAATACT